ATTGAAGTTCTTTTTAATGTATTCCAACTGTAGCCTCAGGAAATGAAGCTCAAGTTTTGGTTATTGGGGTTTTTTTGTTTGTTTTTTACTTTTTTTGCAGAATGTGTATGTAGTTCAGTAAGAAAGATGAACTCAAAGCAATAAATAATTAAGATATGTCAGAAATTTTATTGGAACATTCTATTAATGAAAAACCATTATATAAGCCATTAATAACAATTTATTTATTTTAAAATTTTATAACATTTCTTAGCATTCATTAGTTGATTTGGCACTAATTTGCAAACGATTTTCATGTGAAGGTTGTGTGTACATATGTGTGTGTGTATTCCTGCCTTTATATGGTCCACACTTTGTCAGCATTCAGGGCAATGTTCTATGAAGCATTTAAGATTTGAAGGAAAGACAGATCGTCATGTCTCAGATAAATGTCTTGTTCCCTAAGATACAGAAATATTCTATAAAATATTCTTCCAGTGTATGGAGAAAAAATTGTAGATCAACTGTTACTGTGACAAAAGAGGAAGCTAAAAGATTTTGTCCTCAGGTTGGCTGTGGGTTACCTGGGGAGGCAGGGGGTCTTGTTCTGTAGTTGTCAGAAAAAGACTATGTGTGTTCCTACTTGTTTTTGGGTACTGGATGAGTCTTGTTCCTGTCACATCAGGGTAGGGAAGCATCAACACAGTTTTAATGAGGCACCTGAAGGTTTCTCTGGTGTAGGAACATCAGCAGTCTGGCATAAAATCTTGATTGCTGCCTTTGTGTCACTTTGAGTTGGCCTTGATGCCATTCGCAGCACACTGGTGCTGCAAGGTGGGACTGGATTAATTCCAGATACAATTTAGTACATCTGGGAGGATTCATGCATCATGCTTTGAAGCCATTTGCTTTCCCCTAGTAGAGGTTTGACACACTGAAAATATTTCTCTCTGTTTGAGCTCCAGAGTCTGATGTCTCTTTAATTTTCTTAGGGAACTTGTTTTGTAAAAAGTAAAACATATATGCCATGAATTTAGTCTTCATTAATTCTTCTTGTTGTATTCTTAATGCACGAGTTGAGATCTTGAGTATATTATTCAAAATAGTTTCTTATCTTTTGACAGTTTATCCCACAGTTTTAATGACATCTTATTGTGCTGCATTGGTTTAAGAAGCACTAGCCAAATCCATTTTGACTTAATTTTACAGTAGTTGTCACTATATATTATTAATAACATATTTTTTTTCTGAACATTCTTTATATAAAATTAAAAATAGAAAGAAGTTCTGAATACTTTTAATTTGCAGGAAAAAATGACTAAATTAAGCATGCCCTAATGAAAAAGTGAAGACTTTATGATAACCTAATCAAGTCTAAAACTAGAAATGCACTGATAAAAATTGGATCCCAGAAATGTTAGGTGCTGAAAAAAAGATAAAAGGTGAAGTGGATTTAATTTAAAAAAAAAGAAAAGACAAATTCCAGTAAAAGAGAAAATATATAATAATGTTTCAAGTAAAGGGTAGTTGTGAGAAAAACTATTATGTTTGTAGTATTGAGAAAAGAAGAGAGGAGATGAGTATTGGCATAAGAAAAATACTCATCATTAGTATCTGGTATTTTGCTGCATCATCTTGTACTTCTGCAGTTTGCTGCATCATTTCTAATTCAATTGCAACATTTCTGGTGTTAAGCTGTCATGGTTAGAAATTCAGAAAAGCTAAATATATGCAACTATTCTTCTCATATATTATTTCCACATTTTTAATATTTTTCATATTAAATATTCTAAACAAAAGTGTAAGAAATGCTGAGATTCTACTTGACACTGTAGTGGAGCACCTCAGGCCCCCTCGCTCAGGCAGCACAGGTGAGTGTCATTCTCTCAGGGAGTGGCACACCCAGTGTCACCCCAGCTGCATTATTCACTGTGGTGTGCAGTGCCCAGGGGAAGGTGCAACAACTCAGTCCAAAGAAACAACTGCATCTAAAGATTGTCCATTTCATACTGGTGGGAAAAATCTGCATTGGGCACCTGTCAAATGCTTCTAGCCCTAAAGGTGCATCAGCTGGTTGAAATACTCTGACTCAAGAATCCCATATTTTATGTAATCTATATAAGACCTTTTTGTATAAATATTTAATAATTTTTCATCTCTCTTTACATAGAAGTCAAAGCTGATTATCACAACAGACGACAGAATTAAGTTTATGCTATGGAAAGTGAAAGTGAAAACAGGATACTGATGATCTAGAAAATGTATTGTTTCTTTCAAAATATTTACTATTTGACCAAAGTTGGCTTTGGTTAAAACAACAAGGGAATAGATGGTGGCCCTTTGCCTTGGGGAAAAAACCGAAATTTTAGAAACCAAATTGTGTAAGGTGCATTATTAACTAAACTTATTTGTCTAATCAGAGAGTATATGGTCAACACTGACATTTTGGCATTTTGAATAATAATCTCATGTTAGTTCCCAAACAGAAAGCTGTCCTTTGAGCTCTTCTTAAAACATATTTTCTCATCTTTGTAAAACATAGAAATGGAAATTAAATCAGAAAATGTTGAAGACAAGGTCAAATATTTGGTTAAATTCAATGGTATATCTATTTTTATTTCTCAGTTGAAAAAAATAACCATTACTAGTAAAACTCTTGCAATGTTCTAGAAATCAGTGAAGCTTTTCACTTGATCTGGAGTACTGCCAACCCCATATACTCAATATAAATGTTGTACTTAACTGCTGATAAAACTAAACAGCCATTTGAATTTAATGCTGATATGCCATAAATATAACTGAAGCTATAGAAAATAGGTCATTTGGAACCTTTTCTGGAAGTGTCTGCATGCTCATGCTATGACTTTGCTCAAAAACATATAGTAGCCTGTCTTGCTTTTTTTAATGTTGTTTGTTTTTCTTTTTAAGGCTAACATGAGGCAAAACTAGGATTATATTTGTATTTGTTTTTTATTCCCTCACTCTTGTCAGTTCAAATGTTACTACAGAGTGTTACCAAGAGGGTTAATTATTTTCTAGATTCTGGGCTCTCAAAGAATTATCAAGGTTTAGTAAAGCTTTTTTTTTGATAGGGAACTTATTTATAGTAAGTGGTTTTGGTGGCTGAGACAAATACAGTTTTTAGGTTCAGAACTAAACCAGGAGCTCTGAAAAGGACTCTGACCTAGACTCAGAAAGAGAGAGTGAGAGAGTCTTATAAAATTTGCATTAAAATAGCATGGAAATCACTGGACTTCCTGATATTCTTCAGTATTTAGATTATTTATTTATATAATGAAAAATTCCTTTAGATTACTGTATGACTACTTTTTATATTATTCTAAGTATAATCTCCACTATTTGGCCTGAATTACAGTTAATGGTATTTTTTTCCTAGCAGTGACTAACTATTCCTTAAAATAAAAAGTAGTTTTTACTAGGGTCATTGAGTTCCTTGATTTGCTAGTTGAGAAGATACTTCTGGACTCATTTGATAAAAAGAAAGGATAAATGACATCAGTAGATATTTTATTGTGAGCTATGTATATTCACAGAGAACAAGAAATAATCACATTCTTGCTAGGAATAATAATGTTAAGATTTTATTTCAATGGTTTGGTAACAGAATGCTCTGTTTGAAATTTCTCAGTACTCACTACACATGGTACTTCAAAGATGATAGAGTCTGTTTCATCTTGCATATCTGTGGTGTCATGAAATCATTACAGTGACAATTTTACTTAAAGCTACATTTCCATCTGTTTCAAAAATCAAAGCAGTCTTTTATAGGACTGCAGTTTGTCATGGACCAGCAACAGCCACAGAGAAGAAGGCTGCAGGATGCATACAGATAACACTTTCAAATGTTTACATTTTGAATGTTAGATATTCATCAGTTTTCTTGAAAAAGGAAAATAATAGTAATAAAATCATAGGCTAAAATCTTTTGTGACAATTTACTTTGAATTTGTAAGATTAAAAATGTTTTCCATGCCTGTCATATTATTCTCCATTATTGGCTATTTATGTGACCATAAAAGTGATAACATGTGTGGGCAGTGGTTGTGAGGAGCTTCACCCTTTACAGGATAAGCAAAATAAGCAGAGTCTTAACAGCCCAAAGCAAAAATGGAGCTTGGAGTGTTGGATCTCTCCTATTAATTGGTGTTGATTCAGTTTTGCCATGAGAATCCAAAGGGTTTAAAACTGATAATATTTATGCTAACTACCTAGTTTGTCAGAAGACAGAGAATTAAAATGTAAAAAAAAAACATTTGACAACTTCAAAATGCTAACAGCTCTCAAGTCTAGAGAATGTAGTTCTGCGTACATGCTTCAATCTAGCTCTTTTCCTGAGCAGCTACATCAGAAATGCCAGTTTCAGAAATAGGAATGATTGGTGCAACAGTTCTTAGTGAGTAGTTTAATCTGTCCAAATTAAAAACTTCATTTAAATCAAGTTCCAGATTTTGAAAATAAATCTGACTTAGTTTTGACTTAAGAATTAATTGTTAAAAACGTTTTCAACTTAAATTAGGCACACATGGTTGCTTGTTTAGGTTTTTTTTTGTTTGCTTGTTTGTTAATTTGTTTTGGTTGGTTGGCTATTTTGTTTATTATATCTTTGCATGAACTTTTTAACCAAAATATTTCTAACTTCCTGTATAACTTACAGAAACACAATGATAATGTAAGAAGCTATAGAATGTAGAACACTAACTTTTAAAAATGGGCCAAATTATTGTGTAAACAAGCCCCTGTTTTTAATACCAGTTGTTAAATATTAAAGACAGCAGAATATTTGACAAGTTACGTAGATACTAACTTTCGGATAAAATGTGCTGTTCCAGGATGTTTAAGATGTGTCATAATTCTCTTCACCCCCGGCCTCTAAGAACTAATCTAAATTTTATTGTTAATCATAATCCATTTGTTTAGCTCAAGTTATCCCAAATGATATTAGGTGTATTATAATGTAAGTTACATAATATTTCTGATTTTTGTTTTTTGATTTACACTAGAAGTTACATGGGAAGACCAGCAGAAAAAGGTGAATGGTACAATAACTGATGACAAACCATTGCCGAAAAAGAAACACCATTCTGAGACAGGTTTGTCAGGGTTTGGAAAACCACATGAAAGCATGAGACTATAAAACCACATTTCATGCTTTTGTAATGCGTGTGTGCTTTATGTACCTTATTTTTTCACTTTGGTGTGAAATATTTAGCATGTAGAGACCATCTAGATTACATAGTTCTGTTTTAGAATAGCCAAAATAGATCTGCTTTTGTAAACAATTGTGTTAGAATGCACATACATTAGAAAAGAGGTCTTCTGGCACAATATTAGACATAGTTTGCTTTTTAGTTTTGAATTTTGTTATGACAATATATTTGTGCAAGCCTCAAGAATCCAAGTATAATCTATGCTGATTCTTATTTAGTTGACCAAACCAAGGTATCTACTGCATGTATGGTGGGAAAATCATCTTCTACAGACTTAAATCTCAAACCTTCTTTCACTATCACACATGTCAGAAATAATGTTCCAGTGTAATTTTTTATATAAGCTGCAGTTTATATCTTCATACTTGGAAATGCTCAAATCTAAAAAAATCTCTTCTTTCCTCCATTCTGTAAGTGAATGGATTTCTTCTGAAACTAACAACTATCATAAACTTTCTTTCACCCCAAATGTCAAGTTCAATTATTCCACTATCTTTGTTCCTACAAATGCATAGCAATAAAATGTAAACCTAGTAATAATAATGATTATAATAATAGTATTCTGTCTTCATAATCATAGAATAAAAGGTCTTAATCACATTAATTTATACAGTTGCAAAGGAGTAGAATTTATACACTTAAAGGAGTAGAAAAGGTAGGGAGGAGAGAAGGAAAGGAAAGGGAAATGGGATCTTCATATTGCAGGTTTCATCCTGTATTTAAAGATTGATCCAATCTACTCAAGTGAATGGGATTTTTGAGTTGCAAGAATGCCTTGCTTGAGTTTTGTATTGCAAATAACTCTATTGGTCATATTAGTTGTCTCACTCTAATAACATCCCTTCTCCCAGTCATACAAATTAAAATTTACAAGATTGGCTAGCTATATCACCTTCTAAATTAACAGTGTAATCTCACCTACATAATAATATAATACTGATAATATCCAAGTGTTTTGCTGAAGTTCAACTATTGTACAGCTGAAAGTGCAAGACTCAGAACTGAAGAAAACCAGCAAAATATTTCTTGATTCTCACCTAGGAATTCAACAACATAGCTGTAAAAGTCCAGATGTGCACTTGCAATTCCTGTTCCCCAACTTTTTGATGCATCAGAAGAAGTACAGGATAAAACAAATACTGTTTATAAGAATCTGGATCAGAATGTGCTATATCTTGTTTTCCAGCTGTTTTAACTGTTGCATGATAGAATAAAAATACAATGTCTGCACATTTGCGCTGTTGTCTTTCCAGGAAGAGTTGAGCAGAATAGTGCCTCTGCCCTGACTTTTCCCTTATGTAGTATCTAAGTAGGATCATTAACTCCGTCTCCCAGCTGAGGTGGGCTTAGGACTGTGTTTTAGACAGATAATTTATTTATAGTTATTGGCAGTACTTTTAGGGCCACCATCTCCATATTTTAGAAAGAGGTAACTTATTTTTTAGATGGCTGCTCTTGGGGCATTCTACATTTTGGAACATGAGTAAAATCTTATCATATCTTATAATTGAAAGACAAAACCAGCAGAATAATAGAAATCGGAATCAAATATGAACAACAAAAAGTTCTCACTTTACAGGTGTTCTGTATATTAAAATGATAGTTATTTGATTTCTATCTATTATTTTGTCTGGAACCGAACCACTGATCTCCACACAGATCTGGCTTGAAAAGCCAACTCTCAATTGTCAAAGTCTAGAATAGACACAAAGTTATGTAAAAGTTGTGTTCTTCACTTTACAGTCCTAAATATTTCTGTGAGGGCTGATGCCTGATAAGAACATGACTTCTGTTTTAATTTATATTATCAGTAATGTCTTGTGCATGGGATGATGATACATCTGAGGTGGATCTGAACAACCTGCAATGGGCCTCAAATGGCACATCCCTACATTTCTCAGATGCTTTTGCAAACTGAGTCTGTCAAAAAGATTTATGTACTTCAGTGGTAGGACTGGAGTAATGCAACTTCTAGGACTAGCTGTGTGTGCACACCACTGTTTTCTGTAGACATCCCTATATCATTTCAAACAGTTACTTTTCAAGGCATAGCAGTCAGGACATCTAGAAGAAGGTGCCATAGCACTGTACTCACATCTGGAGTATTATATCTGTTACCATGATATAACTGTGATGCAGCCTACCTATGGAAGCTTCAAATTCCTTGAACCTTTACAATATGGCATTTACCCTCTGTAAGGACTGCAGTTTCTTTAATCTGAGAATGCTTTAAATGTTCTATCTGCACAGCAAACAGTGAAGCGATACTACTAAAACAGTCCCTGAGTGCAGAGGGTGCAATGGAGGCAAGAAGGAATAGGGACACCTCATAGTCCCCTGTTTTGGTTGCCTTTTCATCTGTTGATGAGTTTGCTGATATGATCTGTTATGAAAGCTTATACTGTCTTTAAGTGTAGTTTGTCTGTTAAGAATTTAACCTAAACAGTGCCGTGGCAGTAGTATAGCTAAGAAAACCTGGGAGAACAAATAAGCATTGATTACATAAGTACCATGAGTGGAAAAACTGAGATCTGTGAGCAAATTGTGGAGAAAAACCTGAATAGTTAACAAAAATAATTTCAACCCCCAGAAAAATAACAGTAATACTGTAACTTGTAAAGCATTAATAGTCAATAAATATGCATGAATAGAAATGGGATTAGCAAAAATTTTTGAGGACAATTAAAGGTTGTTAAATAACATGGCAAAATGGTTCTTGTGTTGAAGACTTTTCAGTAGAAGACGATCGTAAGATTTCTCTTCCTGAATATCAGAAATCAATGTGCTTTCTTTTTTTTAACAGTGTCTTTAAGCTCTAAGTTCTGATGCAATTTGCAGAATTAGTGTTATGCATATTTCCAGTTCAACTGTATATATGCAAAGATTTTTAAGGATTGGAAGGGTAAAACTACAGAATCGTAGGTAAGCATAACATAAAAATTCAAGCCATATTTTGAATCTGTGCCCTTCCTTTAGCTGATGTCAGCACTTGGTCAGAGAATACTCCATTCTAGGACACTGCTAAATCAAAAATCATGAGAAACAGTTACTTGTTCATACGTGAGATTATTAAGTACCTTCAGCACGCACCACTGTGTCTGAGCTGTGATAGGTGGTATCTGAAAGAAAGTGAATAAAACTCTGGTCCTCTAATAAGATTTTGTTTGTCAGTGAAAAGAAAAGGAAAAAAAAGTACAGCAGGCATTTTTACATGGTTTTGCATTTTTATATGTGAGGCCTTCAGAAAAGAAGTTGGAAAAGAAGGCTGTGTGTAGAGAATGTGTCCTGTACTGATACAGATAAGGCTAGGCAGGATACTGTTTTTTTAAAAAAAAGCAGTCTTCATCTATATCATCACTAGTGTCTTTTGAACCCATCAAGGTAATTAAAAGGGAAAAAGGACATAGTTTAGGGTACCATAGCACAGATACTCATTTCTGTTCTGTCTCATGATCCAAAATATTGGAAGCTGAATATGGTCTAGCAACCTGTGTCTCCATCCAGAGGTGAAAATGCAGAAACTGCCTTTGTAAGATAGTGAAGAAAACTGTATTTGCTTTCCCCTGTTTTTCCTACAGAGAGGCAGTGGGTTTGATGACTATTACCTAAAACTATCCTGTAATGGTTTCATTATCACTGGCTGTTGAGAACATTGCAGTGTCATCAACTATCTAACCTTTGCCACAGAAACTTTTGATTTTCAAGGTGCAGTTGGAGAACAGAACTCTCACAAAGTGCTGACATAATATTATTGAACAAAATGACACAGGGTAGTTAAAATGGATGTATAAATCTTGGACTGGAATTAAAAATTAAAAATTAAACTCAATTAAAAATTGAGTGTCCTTGTAATTATTTTGGGGAAAGGCATATTTATGTAAAATATGGAAGTAAACCAAAGTTTTAGAGAAATCGCAGCAAGGGTAGGTTAAACACATCAGAAAATATAAAGGTAGTGTATGCTTACAAATGGCAAGTCTTTAGATGGACAGATTTACTTTCAGTTTAAAGGGAATCATGCTTATTTCTGTGTGTGGAAGATTTAAGTCTCTTGGGCAGGATTATGCCATGACACCTCCATAGACAAAGACTTTCAGAAATCTAATGTTATGTAATGAAAACTAATTGTAGCTTATCTCTTACCATGAATTCAATTGACTGGTGTGAAAAGAGTAGTCAAAAATAATTCAAAATTGTGTTCATTTTAATAGAAATTTGTAGTCAGAAGTGACAGTATGAGAAATTGAAAATTATGAAAAGGGATATATAGTTAGAAATGGGTTGGAAAAGGCAAAGTGATTATAGAGCAGAGAAAGAGAGAGGTAATTGCCTTCTCTGGATTCATAATATTTCCAGTCCAATGTGTAACTATACTGCATTAATATATTGTTAAGAGTTACTATTTTTTTTTCCCCCCCCCCCCCCATAAAATTATCATATTAACTTTATTCAGAGAAGTGAAACAATAAAATCTCTCTCTGGATTCTTCATTTATTTTATCTCTTGAGACTTATGAAAAAGCTATGCAATCTACATGGCTTAATTTTCATTAGAGAGTTTATGATACTGAGAATATTTACAATTTCTTCTTCTGTTATTTTCTCCCATTGTCTCTACTATCCTTGTCTTTGGATAAGAGTAAGATTTTTCATACTTACTGTCTTTACCTATTGTGATTTTTATATAGTGTATATTACATATATCTATATTATATAATTGCAGAATTAAATGTATTGCTTTAGTCTTTCATGTATTTTCTTGCTGTATTTTTGAGTAAAAATGTCAGCATACATCCAGTATATAGATACTATTTTGTGTGTATAGGTTTATGCTTTAAGGTAAAGAACTATAACTAAGAGGGAGAAGTCTCATTAAAAAAGTTCAGAAGTGTGGGACAGGCACTGTGTCTAATTGTGGCTTAATGCTTTTAAAGATCATTAATTAATACTGATTTTATTCACATCCCAATGTAGTAAAATAGCCATTTTGTCTAAATTTTCTGCTAACAAATACCTGTACTCTTAGCTTTTTCTATCTACTCTTGTATATATGTATCCTTAGCATTGCAGAGTTTGAGTGGTGTCAGGGGATATCTTCCCTGAGAGTTAAATGTATTATATCAGTTTTCAGGTCTAATCTCATCCAGATTAATGACAAAAATTTATGGTATATACAGACTCTATGGAGCATTTCTGTCTTTGAGTCTCTTCTGTGTTTTAATATGATGCTTACTTGATTGTGCTATTGCAGATCGTATTTTGTGAAGAGTGTTCAAAAATGAGACTTTACAAATCTGAGCTTCTGTTTGCAGTGAAAGATCTTTGGTTCTTAGAAAAAGATAAAAAATGAAATTAAGAAAACTCTTGAGGGGAAAAAAAAGAAGAGTAATTAACTTATGTCTCTCTGTCCTCTGCTGCTTTAAGAATTTTAGTTGGGTGTGTTTGCCATGTAAAGTTTTTTTGAGCACTGAGTTCCCAAATACTTCTCTTCAATGAACAGTTCTATGTCAAAGCATGATAAAAGAGATGGTACTTATTTTGGGCATGTTTCAGACTTAAGTTTTTGATAACTTTTTATGTTTATTTATTGAGATTTTAATTTGTTTCTAAATCTGTATATAATAGCCTTATACATACTACTCTCCTACACTGAGATGAACAATTGATGCAAATAAATGCTAGTTCCACAAAAAATCAATATCTACAAATGGAGACTGACTATTGATGTGATGTAAATTTAATGGAGCTGGTGACATAGTTTTATTCTTGCAATTAAGTGTATTTCTATCAAAAAATATTATTTTGTAGATTAAAAGCTACAGAAACAGAGAATTTTCAAATTCTTTTTTGAGATTTGTGGCATGGCATCTGAGTCAAGAGAAAAAATGATTCATATAAGTCATGCTGTTTTTAAATTAATCAGTCTGTTAGTACTTTCTTCTTCACATCATTATTTGAAAGAAGTTGGTGCATTACCATGGCACAGCTTCTACTAATTCTTCCATATTTCCAGCAATAAATACAAAAATATTATGATCCATTTATCTCAATAGGTCAGGTAGCAGTTGATCAGGTATCCACAGTGAGACAGCAACTATTATCTTTTATCCCCCTTGACTTCTATTAGAATTATTCTTCTAATATGTTTGATAAGTAAAAATCTAAAACTGAAAAATATTTGTAATTAATAATGATTTTTGATTGCCACTTTGATATGTAAATATTTTTTTTCATAAAAAATATTTTGCATGAGGGCTTTAAAAACAGCTATTTTTAAAAAGCATTGGTATATGTGACTGATATACATGCAAATAATGGTCATTTGATTCTAAAATATTCAAAGAGACCTTCCTTGCTATTCAGTTATGTCTGTCTGGCATTACTAGAATACCTTGCATTATCTTACCAGACATATTCTAAGTTTGGAAATAATGTGTTTCAATATTTTGAAAATTTGTAGAGAAGGATTTATCTTACTGCAGTATATGTCTCAAAACTACTCATTCTTATGTATATTAAAAAAATAAACCAAGGATAGTGGGGTCTTGGTAGAGACTTTCTAATAACTGGTTTTACTATAGTAGGAATTCTCACTACAGGGCTATACATAAGTAATATAAAATATTTTCAGAACACTTTGAATACTTTTAGCTGTGTTTTGGTAGTGCTAATAATGATTTATTTATTTATTTATTTATTTGGCACTTACAGCAATTATAGCTATATTAGTATGAGTGCAACATGACACAGAGAGATCTTTATATTTGCTTATTTGTATTTCTTCCAATGGATTTTTTGTACTTGCCATGATAAAAACATATTTATACTCTATTATTGTTTTTTTAATATGTAAAGATATAGCAACTTTTGTCAAAACTGACAGCTGCTATGGTTTCACACTATATATCTCATATATGGCTTTAATGTGTGTTCATTCTGTAAGCAAATTTAATTGCCTAGAATGAATTCTAATTATGTATGTTTCAAGCAGCTTGGATTAGCAACAGTTTTGGTACAGTCTTGGCATTAGATAGTAGATTAAAATATAATCTGACTCTATACTATAAAATTGTTGAAGTAAAGAAGACAATGGTTATCAGATAAAATTTGGTGTTGTTTGGTTTAATTGGTTTTGTTTTGTTTTTCTGATTTTGTTTTACTGATTTATGTTGCTTAATCTAATTTTGCATTTTTTTCAATGGCATCTTGATATTGACTGTAAAATGCCAATAAAATTCCAGATATGGTGTGTAAAACTTTCTGGACTTTATCTAGTATCTTCAGCATTAATAATTTATGAGCAGTGTTTTGTGACTCATTAGAAAATTGCATGTTGAAATTAGGCCAAGTTTATGGATTTTTTTCTATTTCTGATGATTTTGGGAGAAAGCATTTGTTCTGCTAGCAACAGTAGCTTCACAGTTCTTTGTAATTATTATTACTTTTCAAGATGAATTCCTCCCATTCTTTTGCTACAAGTAGATTTTCAGTACATGGCATGGCACTGTCTCTCAGATGTTTTCCATGTCTAAAATGGCAGTGTGCTTTTGAATGTGAAGTAATAACGTAAGTAATGAGATAGTTGCTTTGGAATTTGACTTGCATGCATTTGTAGTAACTTAGACTTTTGTGACATGAGACCAACATTGGTTCTGAAAAAGTATCCTGAGCTGGCCATGAGAGTTAATAGCTATACATTCTCTTTTCACACGTTCTATATTTTGGTCTTGATAATTTTGCCTTGCACAGAGCATTACAATAATGCAGTCCTTTCCAGAGTGTGTTATGTGGATTCTGAAATGTCTGAGCTTGTACATACATTTGCAAAAAAAAAAAAAAATTTTCTGTCTTGGTATCTGAAGTTTGGTTCACCATAAATTACAATAATTTAATAATTGAAACATGTAACAATACGAGTCCCTTGAACATTAAACTGAGTGTTTAATACTTGAAAGAGAAAAATAATATTTGCATTCAAGTAGATAATGTTCAAAAAATTGAACAGTCATGAACAAAAGTATTTATGCTAGTTAACATACCTTTTACTATCCGTCTTTTTCTTCAGCATCATTACAGGGATTGACTTTACTGTCAGTTATAACTTTTATTATTTCCTCAGCTTCTATACTAACTCTGTCTTTGCTGTTCTTTTCTAACAACAGTAGTTTAACCACTTCTTTCTCAGCTTTCTTTTTTCTTCTAGTGTCTTTTATTTTTTTTTCTCCACTTACTAACTCTGCTCTGCAGACTTCTCTCTAAAACAATTTTTGGCCCTTTCCCTCAGTGTCAGTTTTAACCTTCTGAATACATCCTCTCACGCCCATCTCCTTTGTCTATGTCTGTACATTACACGATGTGATCACAGAAGAAGCGGAATCATCAAGGAGAACAAACTCAGGTCTGTCTCTTCTACTGCTTTTCTCTGTGTTATTTTTTAATTTTACCTTTTCTATAGATTTTATCACAGCTCGCCTCACATACTTTTCCCTCTCTTCCCCCACAATATACTTGCAAAATGTTGTCAAGGTGTATGAATTTTAGTTTAAGACACTTCTGTAACTTCTATTACCTAGAAACTATGAACTCTATAAAAAGTGATGAAAGGTAGCTGATGACGAGTAGACTATAGCTTAAGACTTTAAACTGATTTGATTTCTATCATATCAGTTCTTATTTCCCATCTCAAATAATCTGAAAATTAGCCTTTAAAGTTCTAGCTAACATAGGAAAACAATCTGTAATTTGTTTATCTATGCATTTGAAAACTACAAAAACTGCAGAAACTCTTCTATAGCTAGTTCTTTTTGACTCTGCAAGGATATAATGTCAAAATGGAATAATTTCAGTAAGTTAAACTTCAAAATTAGTTTTTAGCACTAGAATTTCTAAATTAGTTTCTTGAATAAAACCTGTTTCAATTAGTAGAGGTTTTAGTGAACAAAAGCTCTTTTCTCATACCAAAAAGTGCAAATCAAGAAGTTATGATAGTCTGAGAGCAAGAAATCAGAACACTGAAGGAGTCCTCACTTAGCTGTATTGTTTATGAAGCTTTTATTTCATATTGTACATATGGTTTATTTCATTTTTAAGCTGCTATTTTATTGAATTTTCTATGTAATTTATATTACTGGCAGAGAACTAACATCTATCAAGGAATCCTAGCACTGAAAATGCAATATTTGTTTACATTTCCCTGCTTGTTCAGTTGTGGTATGTAGAACAGCAAAATTCCCCATATTTAATTTTATTAAATTCATCTATAAAATTCCAATTTTACAATTACTGTGTAAAAACTTTAATTCATTTCCTGTTTCTCTGCTATTATCCAACAAATTAGAGAAGCCACTTGGATGTCATTTAGGTTAGCAGATCTGGAGAGGTTTTGAGATTCATTGATTGGTCCATTAAACTTAGGTGATATTTAGTGAAACATTTTTGTCTTTTCTCTACTATGACTGGCTCCTTCAGAGCTCAGTTTTACCTTTCGTAATGGTCTTGTCCTAATTAGAGTCATAGATTATTTTTACAGAATCTCACAGGTATTATTTGCTCTGTTTTTCATGTTAAACAAATATCAAGATAGAAATTGTTAAAATTGCAGGGTCAAAAAGTTGAGGATGGGTAGGGAAGATAACTGGCAGAGAAGATAACTGGCAGTTTTCTGAAGTCGTTCTTTTGTAAATCACTACTATTAGGAATTAATAAATTATGCTGTCAAAAGACTGAGCTTACTTACCTTGTGCTTATGATTCACTGCCAGCTCTTGTGTAGTTATTCTGAATTTCTTTTATTACAAAAATGAACTCAGAAGATTAGGTGACCCATTTCCTGTCTTTTCATAATAAAAGCTGTAGGCCTTTTTATTCAAAAACCTTCCTCTGAGTTACTGATTGAATCAATATATAAAATCAGAATACGGAATCAGTCCATATCTCTCTCAGTGCTGGAAGAAATCAGAACTTAAAATGGTCAGAAAAAACTATTTATTTTTACCACCTGTGTTTCTTGAACATATATAAGTAGGTAATATTCTGTATTATTAAATTTTTTGATATGCAATTCTGCAAAACGATACTTAACTCACAGTGTTAAGTAAATATATTAGTCACTGATTAATTTAATTGTCTAACACACAAATGCAAAAGCATGATCAGCTCTGCAGTTAAAATAGTTGTAATTACTGCCCCTAAACGCAGAAGAAAATTATTGTGTGTATGGTAAGATATTTTCAGATACACATTTGAGGCAGATCCTCTTCCATGTTTGTCCTTGTAATAAATTAGGTTGCACGTTTCAGTACAAGGCACTTGGAGCACAGCTGAAAAACAAGGATTTCATTTCAACAGCATATTTTGGAATAAAGCGTTTTCCCATTGCTTTAGAATTTACTTTAACAAGTGAGAATCTAGGATTATCACTTTACAGATTGTCTTAGGAAATGGTTTTCACATAGTTTATTTATCATGGTTTATTTTTCACGTGGCTAAACATTCATGTATTCCAGAGGATTAGCTATTGATTTGAGGTGTTATTAGACCAAGAAATGTTTTGAAAGTTAAATATCTGAATATTATAATTATACTGATAGAAAAATGTTGCAATATCCTCTCTCTGGATATTATAATCTATAATTGTAGAAAATAAAATTTTATTCCTTGAAAAAAAATCTAGATTTTTTATTGAAAAGTTTTATAAAAGTGTGTACAAATTTTGCTGTATATTTCAAGCACAAAATAAGTTCAGAAAGATAAGAAGAAAAAGTATTTTAACATAAATTTTGTTATCTGACAGCGGTAGAGCTTGATATCATCTTTAATGATTAAGCCTTGTTTTTCTTGGGTGAAAGAGGAGCTTTGTGATCCAGGATTTTCACAAATCTACTTTGAGATGCAGGGTTTTCAAATTTTTCAAATCAAATTAATATGTTTCATAGGCTTAGGTATTGTGAAATCTGTTGAGGAGAAGTATTCCTGTACATATCCCCATGTCTTCATGCCGAATACTTCCATTTAGGAGAATTGGAAGTGAGCCCTTGTCTGCCCAAGAGCCTTAGTGAGAAGCAGATATCTTTATTTTCATCTCTAAAATATGTGAGACCAACCGGTTCTTGTTGTGGCAAAAATTACTGGCAATTGCAGATAATACTTAGTGTTCTTCAAACATATGAAATACAGAGAACATTCTTCAGAATTCCAACAATTGATCTAGCTGACTCAAGTAACTGCCCAAAAAATGATCATCAAACCATTGCAAGGGCGGAGCCATGCCAGTACAAAGGCACTCGGTTCACATGCAGAAGAAATGTGCTGTGTAATTAGTTCTAGGATGAGAAGCAGTGACACAGTGATCCTCAGGCATTCCAAACTTTCTAATGTAGATGGAAGCTAGAAGATAGTGGGGACTGTACCATTTTTAAAGGGCTATGAAAGGCATGGAAATAGATATTTAAGTCATTTTTTTGCAACCTCTGACATAAAACTGTCATGTTAAGAGCACACAAAGGCTTGATTAGAGTTTTTGTTAACTTTCAGAGTGAAATTCAAATAGACAAGGGCTTTGAAATGCCATTTTTTGGGTGCTTTATTATGAATTTTCTTTGTAGTAACATGATTGATGGAAATGAAGCCTAAAAACTAACAAACCCTGCTGAGGATGAGTGACCAAACTGGAAGAGCTCATAGACCTGAAGAGTGGAGGGCCAAACAGTGAAAGGGTGTGGCAAATTTACTGTAGGAGAAAACAAGGACAAAGAAATGATACAGTTCAGAGTGTTTAAGAAATCAACTGCAGTAGAACGCAAGGAGCACAGGTCTTTTAATTCATTTTTATCTTACAGAACTGTGAGAGATTTTTCAAGTCTTCAAAAAGTGACTCTTCTGTGATATACTTACCCTTTATAAACAGAACACAACACTCCTCTGCTTTTGAGTTATTATTATAGTCAGTATTCTGTGACACACTTTCCTTTATAGAACAGAATGATGCCTTGTTCTGTTTCCATTTTCCTTATGTTGAAAAAACCATTTCTGGGTAGGATTTGTAACATTTTAGCACAAATATGATTAAATTACTTGTGCATCTCTGAACACTTCTGTGATATTTAGTTTGACAGGCTTATTTAAAATTAAATGCCCTAGACTGTGAAAGAGACATTTAAAGCATCTAAATCTGTATTTGGTCAACAAAACCCAAAGGGTAAACTCCAAATTCAGTCTAATTTTGTAAACTCTGAATTCAGTCTACAGGTACTTAGCATAGTAATAGATATATCATATTGGATGGCTGGGCAGCTCTTTGTCCTTATTTTTTATTTTGTTTAGAATTAAATCCAGAAACCAGACTTCCAAAGTAGCCATCTGTACTAAACCACAAAATAAAGGCTGATGATCAATCTGCTGAAGCTAAAATAGTAAAACCATCAGATTATGTAATTTAAAATGACAGCATAATTTTGCAAAATGTTTGGTAGTTCAATTTGTAACTATTCTGAGTTCTAAATGCAGGTGATGATTTTGTGTTCTTTGGTTAAACCTTTGACTATCTTTCTAGTTATGGAGATGCTAATGAATATGTCTTGCATTCTTTGATGGTTGAAGAATCACTATTAATACCTGTTAGCCTTCCTGAAAGCAGAGGCACAATTATTACCAAATGTTTATGCCTATGATTGTAAATGGCTGTATTTGAATGTGAAATTCTTTGTGGTTATGCTGTGGAGTGTACCAGTGGAGGGAACTCTGAGAAGTATGCTTGGCAAACAGGATATTGGAAAGCTTTATAATAAGACTGTGCTCAGGTTTTCCTGAAAACAATGCAGAGTTTATAGTGTGGCTGATCTGAATGGATTTTTATGAGTACAGAATATAAGGGCCTATTGGCCATTCAAACGTTTTTCTTTTACACTTTCAAAATCCTATTTCATGTCATTTAGCTAGGGAAGATGTGCCAGGATTCTTTGGACTAGCAAAATTGAATGTTTTAGCTAATATTTGGCTTACTTCTTCTTTCTTCCATGCTTTTTCTATGTAGACATCAGTATTTTATGAAAGCCACCAAAGTGTGTGTACATCTTTGCATGAGGCACAGAAAAACATCACCAGCTACCCTGCAAATATCACCATGGAAATGGACCTGGACAGCATACAAAATCATCACTTTAATAAATATGCAAAATAGAACTTTCCAACTTGTTTAAAAAGATCTTTGTCCCTTACCATCTGCAGTGATCTATACCTAACAATGGAGACCTTAGCTGACCCTGTCAATTTATAAACCCAGGATTGTAGAGATTCTTTAACTTCCCTGTTTAGATTACTACACTATATAAACAGAGCCATGCATTCTGCAAATAATCCAAAGAAACATTGTTAACATGCTTTTGGCATTGTGATAAAAATT